GTGTTTTTGGACTTGGCCTGGTTTAGAATTATCACATTTTCCCTATTGAAACTATGGTTAAATCTGTCTATATGTTATGAAATTAAAGAATTTTCATCATGTCTTCTGACTGCTAATTAGTTTTCATGGATGCATTCTGTCAGTCTTCTGTCTGTTTGTCCTACATAGTGATTGTTGCAGTTCTTACCAGTGGTGGGTTGCTCCCAGTTTGGTCTGGTTCTATAGAACCAGTAGTAAAACTGGCGGGAGGCTCCGCCCACCTGCCACGATGTCATTGTGGGCAATCTGCGCATGCGTGCTCCCGCTGCGAACTGGTAGTAAAGGTATGTGGAACCCACCCCTGGTTCTTACATTATACATTGTAGATGACTTCTATTTTTTCTTCTATGGTTGGTGGTTTTTTTGGTTTACTTATGATGTTTTGAACGACTTTAGTTGGTTTTAGCACTGATGATATTACCTAGTTTGGGTAATGAAACATCTGCAAGAAAACAAGAAAGCTCAGAGAGCATCTCAATCCTGAGCTACAGATATTCTTCCTTATTGGTAGAACATATTCTAATTGCATTCTTCTCAGAGTTCTTAAGAAACAGAATAATACAGATAACAAAAAAAAAGTTGTATTAGAACTGTCCAAAGGTGTTTTTTCAAGAGGCAATTGGAAAAACCAGAAAGTCCCGTTGCTTCTTGAAAAAGCACCTTTGGGACAACCATGACCCGGATGACCGAGAATCTCCATAGACTTGTATTAGAACTGTTTCAGGAAATCAGATATGAAATGGCATGTGACAGAAACAAAATAAAAATGTATTTACATCTCCTTCCAGTGCAATGATCTCTAAAAACAGAGTTTTGTCAGTCCATAAAATGGAACGTTGAACATATTAGGTACTATCAATGCACAGTGATTATCATCAAAATCACCGGGAAAATTACTTTAGGTTGTGAACAAACATTTTTGATAAAATATATTTTGGCAGATTAATTATTCTGCTATCTGTGGAATAATTAGAATGAATTGTAAATACAACTGTATTGGCAGTCACATCCTCTAAATGTCATTGATTTTAATATAATTTAAGTATATGCCTAACTATGCCACTGAAGTCAACGTGCTCTCAAAATGCTAAGATCAGTCTCAGTGGTGGCCATTAAAATTAGAAAGAGACCATAAATATAATTATAAAATTACCATGTGCAGATAGAAGGAGGATAGATATCCAAGTCATATGATGAACATACAGGCAGACACACACTCACACACTCACAGACACACATAGGGGCATAATTTAACCAGAAGCAATCTCCATTTAGATTCCAATAGGAATCTAGGTGGAGATTTATGCTATTAAGAAATGTGATTTTACTTAATTTTATCCTATTAAGTAATGTGATTTTAAAAAAGAGGGCTTTAAAGGCATATTTAAACCAGTTTCCAGTTTCAACTGTTGATACAAGAATGTTGTACAATACTATGTAAGGGCATCATATTTATTGCATTTTAACTGATTTAGTAAAAATATATATTAGAGGTAGGGCATAGAATTATGGAGCTAGATTGCCCTATTTCCTGCACTGCACTGCACCAAATGTCATTTGAAATAAACAATGTAATCTACAAAATGAACTCTAACAATTGCAACCAACTCTCTATGGAACAAACATAACGTCAATTAAAAACTAGGATCCATGAACACCGGCTGGCTGTGAAACACCACAATCCCAAATGCTCAATCTCTACCCACACCAACACCAAACAGCACCAGTTTGATTGGAGCAACATAAAAATCATCAGCCACGCTATCATCCACCATGCTTGTGAGTTCATCGAAGCCTGGCACTCCACAATTCCATCAATAGACACATTGACCTACAACCAGCTTACGGACCCCTCAGAATCTAAATCAGCCACACAGCTAACCAGAGACAGCACCACTCTTCAATCAACCAATGCAAGCACCCCCCAACCAGCACTTCACCTCCCAATGACCCACACCTGATGTAACCTCCTCTTCACAAGACCCATCACAAGACTCCTACTGATGATTCACACCTGACCCATCACAAGACCCATTAAAAGACCCTCACTTGACACACCCACAAACCATCTTTTCGTATTACAAACAGTGCCATCATAACACTGATGCAAAGCAGCAACAGAATAATCCAAACTTGTTTTGCCTCAAGTACTTTAACTTAATTTATTTAAATAGATTTATAAATTAATAAACAGAAGTAATTTAGTAATAAACATGGTTCTCTCTTAGAAGGAATTTCCTTTGATTATTTATAAAGTATTCTTGAGTGAACTGGGTAAATTTAAATTAAATGGTTTCATTTTCATTTTTAGGAAAAAGGACATAGTTGTAATAAAAAGCAGATGATATTTAAAAAAGAAACTTTTCAAATATAAATTCCGCTTTTCATGCAATTTGAATCACGGGAGCCAACAACAAAACAATTTAAAAGTGTAAAAATAACATAGATATTATCTGTCCATAAACAATAATAAATAATAACTATTTAAAGTTATACTATATCCATAACCCTAGGCAGCCACAAAGATTTCATATTTGTTTAACTTAATAAACTAGCATAAATTCACTGCTGAATTTCATTTCACAGAATTCAAGAATAATACTGTCATTAAGGCATAGACATAGACCATTATTTGATAGGTTGCAGGTTTCTATGAAACATAAAACTTTACCTTTTATACATGTGAAAACTGTCTTCCATTTTTAATAACAAAGTCACAGTTACCAACTTTAAAGTACTAGTTTTATTCTTATTACAGGGAAAATAAGCTAAGCAGCTAGAGGTTTCGCATGAAGGCAGGATACATTTTCTTCCTAATGCAAACAACCTTTTTGACAACTTGATCAGTGGCTTTGAGAAGACTCTAATTCCCATGTTCCCTGAATTTGTTCATGGAATAACTGGAGGAAAGTTGGATTCCTAACTGAGGTCTAAGGAACCTCTACTTCAGTATTTATAATTGAAAATAAGAAATACATGTACATAGACAAAGCAATCAGACTATTGCCTTTTGCTGGTTAAGCAACATCATGCAAAACACAGAAAAGGAAGATGAAAAGCTAGGCCAAATAAATTAAGGCATGAGGTTGAAAACAAAAAACAAAAAATACAGTTAAATTTGGTTTATATCAATATTGTTCACTATGCGTCTCTGTCCTTGCAAACCATGTTTGTTTCTATCTCATCTGTACACTACTCGTTATATTGCTTTTTGTTTGACACACCTTATTCTTTTTGAGAATGTCATTAATTCAATCTAACCACTAGTGTTCTGGCTTCCCCTTCTTCTTGACCTGTTCATTCTTTCCTTACATAGTGGTTGCACAATTTGCTCCCCAGTCATTCTTTGTAATATGACCAAACCACCTTCTGTTCTTACATTGATAGCTTCTGTCCCTAGGAATTGTTCTCAGACTGTGCAAGCTGCTATTTCTGCATTGCCAACACTTCTGAACGCCAAAGTCAGATTAGTACAGTTTTCAGAAATAACTTTCTTAAAGGCAAAAAACAGCATTTCTTACTAGTGCCCTCCAGATATGGCATTTGGCCATTTTGGCAGCAATAGACAAAGAATGATATTCAATATATCTGGAGGAGATCAGATTGGAGAAGATCAACCAAGAAGTTTCATATCACTTGGAAAATAACCAGCTAATAGATTAATTTAACACCAAGCCTTTTCCATCATTCTAAATCCTTTCTTACTGTCTCTGTTTCTTATGCTGCATCATAGATGACTTCAATTAGACTGCAGCATTTCTTATATACTGAGTCAGCTGTTTCTGAAGCTAAGCTTTAAGTCAGTGATTTTTAAAAGATTTTATTTTTGGCAGAAACAATTCAGTGGACTAAAGCTAATACAAAAGAATAAAACATTTTTACAAAATTTATTTGCTACCACATTAATTATTAATTTATGATTAAACTTTATTATTTGAGAAATGAAAGGATATTTGCTATAAATCATTCACTTTGGTATTAAAAATCTGTTTTTTATCTATGCTATGAAGCTAACCTAGAAAAACAACTCTTGTCATTGGTATCTTCTTTTTAATATGGAAGAGTAAAGAAATATAATATATAAATTCTACAATTATTTATTTACATCTAACAGGCTGAAGAACATAGTACTAATTCAGCAAGAAGACATCATTTAATGACTGTTGTATAATATTACTATCGACATCACAGATTGTGATTTGATTCCCTACCCCCACCCCAATTCCAAGAATAGTTTTCCATGTAGATTTCCAAGGACACTTTCCTTATAAATTTCCATGTTGCTCAAAGGAAAGTTTTTCTTATCAAAAATTAATAAAACTTTCATTCTTGAATTGCAAATTCAGCTGTCAAACAAAGCCTTAATTTTTGTGAGAACACCACACAGCAAAACAACTCAGGATTTTGCATAATAGACACCTCCTACAGCAATTAAGGGACACAATTACAATTACAATTACAGCAATTAAGGGATGTGGTGTCTCAGTGGCTAAGACACTGAGCTTGTCGATCGAAAGGTTGGCAGTTCAGCGGTTCGAATCCCTAGTGCCGTGTAATAGGGTGAGCTCCCATTACTTGTCCCAGCTTCTGCCAACCTAGCAGTTCGAAAGCATGTAAAAAATGCAAGTAGAAAAATAGAGACCACCTTTGGTGGGAAGGTAACAGCGTTCCGTGTGCCTTTGGTGTTTAGTCATGCCGGCCACATGACCATGGAGACATCTTCGGACAGCGCTGGCTCTTTGGCTTATGAGCACCAACCCCTAGAGTCGGGAACGACTAGCACATATGTGCAAGGGGAACCTTTATCTTTACCTTACAGCAATAAAAACTGTTTATAGATTAATGACTATTTACTTATTTATATTGGTTTAGACAGTTGTCTACTTCCCCAATGTGATTCTGGGCAGCAAATAAGAATTAAACTACATTCAAATTAAATTATAGTAAGAAAGGAGTCTTACTTTAGCTTCTGAGGTTGGTTCCAAAAAGCAGAGGCGATTCCCAAGCCCCTCAGCAGCCAGGCAGAACTTGCGCTGTTCTTTATGTATGTTGGCTACACACTGAAGAACAGCTTCATCATCCTGTCATGATATACAAGAAGTATGTGAACAAATAGGAAATATTTGCAAGATTTAGATCAGAAATGAATTGGTTCATTTTGACAAATCTCTAAACAAAACATTTGTTTAAAACCGGCAATGTACTGTATATATTTTTGACATAAAACTATATGAAATTTCAGTTACTTAGTCCTGTCTTCACATTGTTATGAGGAGAGGTGTGTTAATCTATGTTGTCAAAAAAATCAGGCATTTGATGTAGCTTCCTTTCTTTTTTCCACCTCACCCCAATTTAAATCTGAATTCAATCTACATCATGGACTGAAGTTCCCTATTTCATCATTTTTGTCCACTGGATCTCTAACAAGAACAACAACAACAACAAAAATAGTTTGAATATAATGCTCATTCTTTGCAGATGAACAGGAGTATCAGACAATAATTGTTGCTAAAACCAAACAGCTAGTGGATTGAGTGAACAAAATAAATTCTCCCTTCCCCAGATTATCTCAGGATCTTTGACAGATTCAGTAAAACTGGAAGCAGAATAAAAGGGAACTAATAGTTACTTGACATTTCTTGAATTTCTTTCTATATGTACTTCTGTGGATGTCTTGAAGAAAAAAAAATGGGTAAAGCATGCCAGATGAGTGAGCAATTCAAAATGATGGATATTAAAGATGTCATAGGCAGAATGCTTATGCCGTAATACAGCCCAAGGACAACTAATTTCTTTTGCTTAGGCCTCAAAAAACCTTATGTTTCTAAGCCTGATGCCTCTTATACTGCTATATTAAGAAATAACAACAGACCTGGTTTTCCTATTTGACTTGGTTAATCTTGCCAGATTTTATTTGCTGTTAACATTTTTATGGGGAATATAAAAAAAAATATATTATCATCACTTATAATTCAAATTTTTCTGAGTTTCAAATGCTAAAATTCATTCTACTGCATCTGTTATTCGAGTGTTATTTTTATATAAGTCACACAAATGGATTTTACAGCTATAAAATATTGCTTGCAGGCTTGACAATAACCTCAGTGGATATCAAGACTAAAAACTCCTTAAGAATCTTTTCCAAATAATACAGTTATGCCATTTTCTGTGTTGTACAATACATCTTTGTCCAGAGCATACAGTTCTTACAAATGCAAGCTTATGATCGGAAGACAGATAGTATATCTGATGCTTTCTTTGACACGGTTAATAGCCTTACACTTTCTGAAATGTTACACTCCCCTGAAAATCATGCAGTAACATAAGTATATGTGATTGATTTATGATGGAAAGTATAAATGAATAAAAGAACTGAATATATTAGAAATAGTATTACATTTTTCAGAATTACTCTACTTTCCCAGAAAATAAAAATTTAGCTACTTCATATTTACTTGAAAATGTGACCTGTACATTATATAACAACTTTCGAAATTCAACATTTGACATTTGGAACCCAGCTGATATTATTATGCAGGTATATATTTACTTGTATTTAATCTGATGAGCAGACTTTATTGGATTGGTTATTTTACATTGGAAAGGCAAGACACATGTTGTGCTATTTATGTGATCAAAATCACTGATACTATATTCCAGTGATGGCGAACCTTTTCGCCGTCATGTGCCAAAAGTGGGGGGAGCACAGGGGAGGTCGTGCGCACGTGCCCACACACATAATTCAATGCACGACCCCCCCACGCTCCCACCCCTTTGGCACATGGTGGCCCGGTGGGCCCGGTAGGCCTGTTTTTCGCCCTCCCCAGGCTCCAGAGGCTTTCTTGGAGCCTGGCATGGGTGAAGACGGCCTTCCCCACCTGCCCAGAGGCCCTCCAGAGGCCGGAAACGGCCCATTTGCTGACTTCCGGTGCGCCTGGAGGGCCCGAAAATCAGCTGGCACATGCTGGAGCTGAACTAGGGCAATGCTCATGTGCCCACTGATATGGCTCCACATGCCACCTGTGGCACGCGTGCCATAGGTTCGCCATCACGGCTATATTCCATCAGGAACAACTAAGACAAGTTCAGATGCCTACAGTAAACTTTCTAATAATCAAGGTCATGCTGCCTTCACTGATAATTTTTTGTAAGCTACAGTCACAGAAGTAACTTAAGGAGACTTAATGAATGAGTTTTACACATGCAAGCTTGCTTCTCCTATTGATGAAAACAGACAGAAGCCCTAATATGGGTGAATTCTTTGTGCATATTGTGGTTTCTTTCCTGGAAGGGGTTCCTTAATTGTATTAAGCTTACAAAACTATACATGGAGAGCTCTTTTTAAAGAGTGTTTTCGTTATATTAGCAGAATTGGAAATGTGATTTGAATTTATGATCCATATTACTTCCTTATGAATGTATTCATAAGCATATTGTTCATCTACATTAAACTGCATTAAAAGACTCTCCATAAAAAATTGTAATTAAATATTAAATTTAATTAAATGCATGTTTGGTAAAATAATATTATTTAAAGTTGTTTCCTTTCAAAATAAGCAAATCTAAATGCATTTGATCCCATGATTTTTTACATGTAGTTTTATACCCACTTTGAAATAAGATATTATCTGGTCATGGTTATAGTATCAGATATTTGCTAAATGCGACTAGAAGGAAATATAGCAGAAATAGAATAAATTATTTATTTTTAGTGAATTATTAATTTCTGCATATGTCTGAGGAAAAATGGGATATGGTCAATTATGAAGATGACTACAGATTCATGCAGATAGACTGAATAGCATTAGATAAATTAGAATGGAAAATACTATTTATCCATTTCATTTCTATACTAAAAATCAGAAACAACATAATGAGTGTTAGGATAAAAGATGTCCCATCTTTAAATATTACTATGTAAACTCAAAATTAAATTATAGATGTTTTCTATATAGAGAATAATGTTGATTGAGAAAGTCCCATTTTCTTCTGCAGCTGTAAATTATTTCAACCTATTCAATAAAGAAGAAGTAATGACGCAATCTAACAAAATCAAAAGACAACCAAGGAAAAAATCAAAACACAGACTTAACAATGGAACACCTGAAAAGTTTTTTGTTTCATCTACTTTTTCACCAACATTAGTTAATAAAAGCATGCCATGTTTGTACCATTTCTCCAGAAGATATGCAGTGTTAAATTCCATTTTCAAATTGTGAGTTAAATATTACAATTGAAGAGTTACTACCGGTGTTTAGAATCAGATTAATGTTTGTAAATAGTTAAGATGTATACATGGTGGAATCGTTGGTGCTCTGAGCTTGGTTATTTGCTGGCATTTCATTACCCAACTACATAATGTCATCTTGATCTTGTGAACATGATTTGTAAATGTCTTGGTTAGTGTTTGTACATGCCTTAGTAAGTGTGTTAAGATCCGCAGATGAGTTATCTCTCACTTCTCATTTAATTAGATAGTTTCTGTGGGTCAAGACAGTTAATTTAAAAAAGTATTGGGAAACATAAGAATTAATGGAAAATATAAACATAGTGCCATTTAATTGTGTTACAATCAACTAGCTCATACACACTGTAAGCAAAATAATTCATTCATCTTTATGCAACTAACACTGCACTGCAGTAACTGTAATAATCAGTTGGTGAAAAATGATGATTGCTATTGTAAGTCATCAGTGCACTTATATATTAATAGTTACATGAATAATGTAAAAAGCAAACCACCACCAGAAGTGATATATTGTAGCAGACTTTTTAAAATTGGTGCCCTCCACAAATTTTGATAAATGTTGACTAAAATTCCCCTAACTCCCAATTATAGTCTTTTAAATACACCATGTTCATTTTTGTGTCTAATCATCCAAGTGTTAGAAAGTGGGTGGGAGGAAGACAGAGTTATTTGAAGGCACAACTTTGGGGGGAAGAAGTCTGAACCCTATTAAATAATAAAACAAAACATGGAGGATAAAAACATGAAGAACGGTGGCAGAAATTGGATATGTCTAGTTTAGTGAAAAGAAGGTCTATGTTTAACATGATAGCGGTGTTCCAATATCTAATGAGTTGCCACAAAGAAGAGGGAGTAAACCTATTCTCCAAAGCACCTGAAGGTAGGACAAGAAGCAGTGGATGGAAACTAATCAAGGAGAGACCCAACCTAGAACTAAGGAGAAATTTCCTGACAGTGAGAACAATTAATCAGTGGAACGACTTGCGTTCAGAAGATGATGATGCTCCAACACTGGAGATTTTTAAGAAGACATTGAACACCCATTTGTCTGAAATGATATAGAATTTCCTGCTTGAGCAGGGGATTGAACTAGAAGCCCCCCAACTCTGTTAATAATGTTAACTCTCTAACTTAACCTTCCCATACTTGCATCTCCCAGATAACTTAGTTAGCAACTCCTTGGAAGCATAGAAGTTAGAAAAAATGCTGGCAAGGATATGTCACATGGTAAAAATAATTTACCCAGAAAATTCAGTTAATTCTACTACCAGAAATGTAATGACAAAAACCCTCTACTCTTTAGTAACAACAGTCCCAACATATCAAAATGGAAGAAAAATACTGTAATCTTTCCTGTCTTCTCTCTTATGTGTAGTTTTCTCATCTAATCAGGATGAACAGAAGAAGCATGTTAGCTTATTAAAAACAGTAATAACAGAACTGTGATATATAATTCTCCTTTCAGATATGCACAATGGACATTTGTGCAAGTTTCGTTAGTAGCAGCAGGTGGTTTTATCAGCTTTGGTGTGTTTGTCAATTACAACGCTACCTGCATAGGTCTTTTCTTAATGTCATGCATAATAATATAGCCAACATGATTCTTATAATGCACTCTATGTGAGATAACCCTTCAGATGCTTTAATTATTGTTTCATAAATGAGAAGGAACACTTAAGTAATAAACATAATTTATTCTACACAAATTGTATTAGATGTTTATTGATTTCTCAGTCCAACAGTTCTTGAGGATGTTGAATGAGAGAAGGGCAATCCATAATTATTTGTACTGAGAACTGCAAGCCATTGTCCCACATTGAAATTGGGAAAGTG